TATATATATGTATATATGTATGTATGTGATATATATATATGTGTATATATATGTATGTAATATATATATATATATGTATGTATATGTATGTGTATATATATATATGTGTATGTATATATATGTAGCAGTAAGTAGCACATCTCGCTAGGTAGCATAAATCGACAGAACACGTGTCTGTGGCGTCTCTTGCTGATGCTTCAGAAATGCGTGTGTGGAAGCTACCGCGCTACTCGGTCAATAAAAGAGCTTCGTTACTGAAAAGCTATCTGATTCAGAAAACAGCGACGCTGCCACCAAACTACTGAGAAATGTAGTTAAACTAGTGACGGCGCTACAGCCCAACATTACCATCAACCTCGGTAAATCTGCCAATATTCATGTTCTACACAGTTAATTTCTCGACTCAAAATCGCTCAGAAGTGTATTATATAAATATATAAATCTGTCTAAATCACTCACCACTTTAATGAGGGTGTTCTCTCATAGTGAGATATTTGATGGGGAAATGTCAGCAGTGTCACAATAACTCAACTGTTATAAATGACACAAACAGGCGTTCTGGGGTTTTTTCAATGTTATTTATTTTTTATTCTTTAGACAAAATGTTTCTCATGATAAAAACATGATACAGGCACACAGGAAGCCGCCGGCTGCTGATGAACATCCGTCTAAACGTGCAAACTACTGCGACACCGTCACCCTCAGACGAACCAGAGTCCAAAATCTGTTTTTTTTTTTTTTTTTTAAATGACACCACAAGATGACGGACTTGTTTCATCAGTCTTTTCGTTCTTCAGCTTCACTCGCATCTGAGACGCTGCCTTCGTCCACGGCTCCAGGAGGCGTCGCTGCCGTTCAGCCGCTCTGACTGAAGAGAGAGCGGTTGTGTTCGGCCTCTTCGTGCAGCAGCAACCACAACAGGAAGGCAAAGTTCTGACCCCAGACTCTGTTGCCCCAGGTTGAGACCCTCTTTGCCAGAACCACCTCTAATCTAAACGTCAGCTTGCTGAGGGAGGAGGCGCTGCCTGAGAGGCTCAACTCGGGGCCCGACGGGTCCTCTCTGGATCAGTAGTTGGTCCTCAGCCTGCGGTTCTCCTCCTTCAGCCTCTCGATCTCCTCCACCAGAGACTCGTTCACAGAGTATCTCTCCATCAGGCAGTGCATCTCGTTCTGAAACAACATGGACACAACAGGGTCCCTGGATCAGAGGAGCAGGCGTTTCATTTCTGTCAGACTCACAATGCAAATTAATGTTTAATAAAAGGTTCCTAATCCCTGCCGCCTACATTACCCTCAACGCAGAGTTCAGAAATTTAAAAGGGAACGCCCCCTTAATAGGGCTGGGAATCACCGGAGGCCCCATGACAAGCTACATCACGACAATACAATATCACAATACCATATTTTTGTGATTTTAAACATATTGCAATTTAAAAAAAAAAAACTTTTCCGCTAAATGGCAAGAGGGTTTTTTAAATAAAGCACTTAAATGCTAATTTCTAATGACTTTTGAAAACAGAATGTACTTATTAGTGTGGCTGAAAGAGGGTCTTTGTAGTGAGATGGAGAACAGAGTGGAGATTATGAAAACTCTGCTGCACAGTCAGAGAGACAGAGTATAATATAAAAACTAGAACAAAACTCCACTTACTACCTACCATAAAAACTATGCTACTGCATATAACCTGCTAGTTAATGTAGCCACAGCACAAATGTATGAAGTTATCCTGATGTTACACCTGTGAGCTGATACTTCCTGTGTCTCACTTGACACGTTTGTGAACACAGAACTGTCTTCAGTGCAAACTCTGACATGCCGTTGGCCTGAAGTCTTTTTACTACGTGAGTTTTAGAATTTACTATTCATAAAACTTACAAGCTTGTCCTCCACTGTTATTTCTGCTCCTCCTCCTGTGACCTCTGACCTCCTTCTCTTAAAATACTGCAGGATGCTCATCTCTGTGTGACAATCTTGGCTACTTAAAAACCGGCTTGGTGTCCATAAACAGTTTAAAAGGCCCAGGATGGTCACAGACGGGGGCGAACAAATGGCCCTGGAGTTTGTCCCTGGTTCAGCCCACTCTCCAGTAAAGTATCTGGGGGGGCTCTGGGTCTTTAGAGACCTTTTTATTCTTGCAAATTTTATGCGAGTAGAGAATAACTAAATGAGCTGTTAAAATACTAAAACACCTCTTTAACTCTGCTAAAGTAAAGAAATCAACTCAGCTGAGTCCTTGAATACAATAAATAAATAAGCCATATCATCATCAGTCGTACCATAAACTGGTGCTTTGTACTCAGCGGGCTTTGACTATCTATTGCCCTGCTGCCTGTCTCATGTTCATATCAGTGCCAGTACTGAAGCAGGTAGAGTACTCAAAATAAAAGTCCAATTACTCCATCTACTATATATTTAAATATATATTTCATCTGCTGTGCAACGGGTCATTTCTGGGGAATGCAATTTGCTGTGCTTGTTTATAATCTGTAATTTAGCCATTTCTGTTTAATTCAATTATTTTTCCTTTTTTAAATCTCCATGAATGTGTTGAAAAGATCACTTTAAAATATCAGTTTGCTGCCCAGCCGCTATTGTTGCCTGTATCTTTTATTATGGACATGTAGCCAATCAAACCGCTTGCTTTGCAGCAGCAGCTACATACAGAGGAAGCTGTGCGTCATGCGTAAAGCCCAACAGGACTGTTTTATCCACCATATTTTCTCTCCCTGTGCATCTCAAATATGATTGTTTCCTGAATAAATAACAGCTGGTAGCTGCCGAGTGAAGCCATGATTCGTTTCACCGGCGACATTCTGTTTATGGACTCACCGTCGTCGCTATAAAACAAATAGTAACCAATGTGAAAGAAACAGGCTAATGTCCATCAGAAGAACAACAACAGGGTAGTGTTAATATATCAGAATGAATCCAGTGATCATCTGACTTAGATGTTACAGTACGCTTTTAATACGCCGTTAACTGAAAGTAAAAGTATTTCACTTGCCGGCTTGTTAAAGAGCGACGCAGGCTGCAGTGTCGTGGTGCGCGCTCACTGGATTTCAGTTGTATTATTGGAACAATAAAGCCTTAAACTGAAAAGGTGTTCGCCCGATTTTCTAAATGTTTGCATCTGCCCAGATGCTGTGTGACTGTGACAAGCGCCCGACGCCAGAGCTGATCTAGTAGTAGTAGATAAAATGCCCACATCTCAAAAACTAAAAGAGGCGCACAGTTCAAAATGACTTGTGGAGTGTTAGGAACTATTTTGTTCATCTTTCTACATTTAGAAATATTTCGGATCAATGTTTTATAGACTTTTTTTGAGAGAACATGCCCGATTTTTGTATTTTTTTTTCAAAATTTCAATACTTTTATCCATTATTATGCTTTATTGACTTGCATAACCTTTTAGCAGAGGTTGTACAGATTTTATGGATGTGCGGCAGTTGAAGATACTCCGAGAAATTACATCACAATAGGCAAAAATACCAGAGTAGGCACTGGCAGACCATTTGTATTGAGTTCAAACATGTGCAGAACATCATTGGGTGCCAACTTTAAGTAAACTTAACATGCTACCCCGGAGTTTAAGACCAAAACGCGGTGTTTGGATTCAGCGTTTCAGTCTGAACAGGAGGCGGAAACGAAGCAGAAGGTCCGAGGTTTAAAACGAAGACGGAGCCTGACATCACTAACTCTTGGACTCTAAACAGGAAGAAGAGAAAAGGTCAGAGTTCGTACCAGCTGGATGTAAAACTGTCGGATCATCTCCACCTGCAGGTTGACGATGTCTCTGTGACAGGCGTCCCTAAGGAGAGGAAGGAAAACACAGAGACCGTTAGCTTCCTACGCGTCTCCGTCTGTCCCCCTTCAGTCAGTTCATATTCAGCTCTTTGGGGTCCAAGCGGGCGTTCCCACCTTAAGTCCTCCAGAGTCTCGTGGATCATGTTCTGGATGAAGTGGATCTGCAGGGAGGTGAAAGGAGCGGCTCCGGCCTGTCCGACCACCTCCGCGATGTTCTGGGAGAGAGAGGAGGAGACGGCCGCCGACAGAGCCGGACCTGGAAGTGCAGACACAACAAAGACCTCAGACCTGCAGCTGTACTGAGACACACTGCTGTTCTTGGCCTGCTTCCATCTTAACTACAGGACTTATTCCTACTCTCTGTCCCTAAAGTCCAGACTGAGGTGGGAACAGCACATCTGGCTGCAGATGTTCTGACTGATCCATGTGGCCCCTGTTTGGTCCCTGATGCTGATGACTTACCTTTGATATTTTATCATCCTGTCATTTTTTATTTATTATTTTTGCCTAAAAAGGAGTCAAGAAACTCAAAGTAAGAACTAACTACAGCGCACCATTTCACACAGACAATTATTACTGTCGCACATCACGCCAACGCTGTGGACAAGTGAAGACGATACCAGAACCAAAACCAGTACCCTTGAAGTGATACCGATAGCAGCAGAGTACTTCATTCCATACCTTGCATAAAATGCCACCTGTTGAAGCCACAGTAGTCGAATGGCAACCTGTTATTTTTATTGTTGTTATGGACAAACAAGGTGATCCATTTTATTTTTTTCTTGTTTCAAATAACTGTTACATAAAAGTTTTGGGAAACTGTCAGATCCTCATCCTGATTAGGTCGTCCTCACTGGTAGTATTTTAGGAGGAAAGACTACAGCTTGGAGTTTTTTTGCATTTGAATGAGAGGAGGAGTGAAATAGTTTAGTGACCAAATAAGTTGAGAGAAACGGGTGGTAGACCCCTTTCCTGTATAAACTACACTTAGAACAGGCCGATATTGTAAGCTGGTATGTATGTGGGCTATAAAACCTTTAACTATATGGATTAATGTTAATAAAATAGATTACAGTCTCAAAAAGTGAACATGTAAACAATTGCACATCATTAAATATTTGCTTTTTCAGCCGTCTGTAAACAAAATAAGCATGTGTGTTTTCACTTTACACATAATCTGCCGTAATTTCAATGTAGCACATTCACATCTAGTTCATCTCTTTACCAGCACTCTTCTAACCATTTAACCACCATCAGTTTAAATCAAGCCGTCTATGATACAGTGATCTAATACAACACGACTCTCTACAACGAGGACCTGCAGCTTTGAGATTTCATTTAACTAACGTTATAACCACAACCAGAGCCGTTACGGCTCCGACAGCGTTTCACATCTAGGCTCAGATATATATTTAGAATACGTCAGAAACTATAGTGTAACGGCTCATTAACGTTAGCGCTCCTCCACTGATAAACACGGCATTAGCTTTGTGCCTAGTTTAGCAACGGGCAGGGTTAGCTGCTGTAACGTTACGTGATTTTAGAGAATATTTAGAAGTGATGAACTAGAGACAAATGTGGACTGTTCACTAGAACAGCCACACTGTTTCAAAATAAATGTACAATCTCGTTAGTCAGCAGTGCAGCTTTAAACACTACCATTACATTAACCTGCTGTGAGCTGCTAGGAAGTCGGGGGTGCAGTGAAAAACGGGAGGGTTAGCAAGTCATGTTTTCAGGAGAGGAGAAGTGACTGTTTTTATTATAATTAATGGGACATAAGACCGACTCACCGCTCACACCGCCCTCTGCGGTTTCTACATGCTCTGGTAAACTCCGGTCAGCTGATTGTTTTCTTCTGTGGTTTTTGTGCTGAGGCAGTGTTGTTAAGAGGGGAGCTGCAGCTGGTCGCCCTCTGGTGGGCAAACTATGCAACACCCATGACATAAGTGAAGGATTGACTTCTTTTTTATTAGGTCATACATCTGCTGTTATAAACTGTCGATGACGATTAAATGCAAGTAGCTCATATCGGTATAAATCGGTTGGGCTCTAGTAAATAAACATGTACAAAGAAAAAAAAACAAAAAACAAATTTCCAATAAATGTTTTTGAAGTGCGTAAATAAATCCCAAATTGTAACCCTGGGTCATCAGTGCGTATGTGTAGGCGTAGCGTAGATATGTGCGGTGGCAGAAGAGGAACACTTGCTGAAGAGACGGTGAACCACACAAAGAATATTTTATCGTTTTTAAAAATCCAGCTTAAAATAGACACGCAGGGAACTGCGAACCGCTAAACTCTGCACAAGACCGGTGAATGGTGGGGGGGCGAGAAAGAGAGACAGATCTTCTATAAGCCTGAGTTTAGCTTTGTCTCACAATCGCCGTGCACAAAAACACACACCTGATTCGACTATAGGCAGGACTTGACGATTCTGTCAATCCTTAGTCGGGGACAGAAAACAGAAAACATTTCCATCTGGATTCAGACACTCAAACCAATCGGCTTCTGTTTATTCCTGCAATGATTCGAGTCAGTATTAGTGAAGTGGAGCGGTAACCACGTCCCGGTGGGAAACAAACCTCCGGCTCTGGCGGTGCTTTACCTGCTGCGGTGGTGGGTGGAGCTCCCTGGACAGGTGAGTCGCTGCTCAGCTGAGCTTGAATACCGTTGGGTCTCCAGAGGCTGGGTTCTATAGAGGAGAAGGACGGGGCTGGCTGGCTGCGATTGGTCTGCTGGGGTGGTGTGGGCGTGGCCTGACACTCGCCCTCCAGGCCGGAGCTGCTGCCGGCTTGGTCCGACTGTCAATCGACAGAAAGGATTTGTGTTAAAACAAAAACAAACAGCTGACGTTCGTGCTGTGTTGGTCCGGATCTGGAGGTCAGACCTTTCTGGAGTCACATGGTTCAGCTGCTACAGCCGAGCCCGGCTCCTCCTCTCTGATTGATGGTGGGGTCTGAAAGACAGACAGCGGGGAGTAGCAGCGCCCTCCAGAGGCTAGCAGGGACGTTCCCAGGGGGGTCTTACGGTGAGAGTTGGCACCTGAACAAAAGTCTGCGTGAGTTCACAACAAAGATCAGCGTTTACGAGCCGTCAGTAACCAGGTGAGCGTTTCTACAGTAGGCCGATGCCCAAAACCTCACGGAAACAAGAAACCTGGGTTCAGTACTCTGTGTCAGAAACCCGTACCTGGAGAAAGCGGGTTTCTCTGATCCCCTACCCCCCGGGTAATGATGTGCAGGACAAAGATGGCGGAGTGGGCGGGTCAAAGCAGAGAAACTAATGTAAAGTGCAAATAAATCAGATTAGTAAAAAGGAAGCCTGACCGTCTCTGACGGGGGAGAACATGTCCAGACTGTCCCGCCCGGTGAGCTGCTGACCCTCCCCGTCTCTGGACAGCATCTCCAGACTGGTAACTATGGAAACACCGCATCAATGTTAGTCCACAACCGGCAGCATCATTCAGACCAGCTGCTGTTTAAGTTAGAGACTTCCTGTTTTACCGTGTGTTCTCCCAAACTGGGCGTCTCCGGTCGTCCCCTGGGTCCTAGAGTCTGGACGACAAGGACAGGAAAGAGAGCTGAAGGTTAGACTGCGCTCAAAGACACGACTAACAAAAGTCGTAGTTACAACTTTGACATAAACAACCTTTGGAAACGTTCTCACGCGGAGGAGTAAAAAGAAGCCGTCTGATTCCTCAGATGTGACATCATGGTCAATTTAGAGATTTCGGGCTACTTTAGCTGCGTTTCCACCAAAGGGACCGGTGTCTAAATTTAGTTCAAGGGTCTTTGTTTTACCCCCAAAAGTCCCTGCTTGGGGGGGGTTGTACTTTCCGGCCCCTCTTTTCCACCATTGTTTGCAACCCAATAAATCACAACCAACAGTCAGAGAGCCACACGAGTCTCGCTGATGTCCTTTGATGTCCTTTATTTTTGTGTCTCTTTCTCTGTGCTGGAGTTCTTTTGAGAACGTGATGGTTTTATCCAGTTTGTTATTAAATGTGTAACGAACTTTATCGCGTGTCTCTTCATTATTCTCCCACACAGAAAGCTGCTTTTAATGGTCAAGCCTGTAGTTTTCATTATATTCCAGTCAAATCTGATGTTCATTTATAAATGTTGCTCATGGATAGTGGTCGCTTTCATGACTTGATACAGATAAGTACAGATTTGAGGAGGTAGCGAAGGCGCCATCTGAGGTCTGACCTTCTCGAACAGGAGAGAAGAAGTCCAGACTGTTTCGTCCGACGCAGCTGAACTTCTCCGCAGCAGGAAGCTGCTCCGTCCCCTGCTGGCCTTCAGCCTCCCGGGACATCACCTCCGCACCAGCGCCCCCTGCTGGACACAACACCGGGCTCACTGTAGACTCGATATCAAACTAAACACGGTCATCACAACTCCGTCATCGTGACTGTCCATATTGGAGTTTTCAAAGTTTTGCTGAGTGATCTAACATGTAAAGGGTTTTCCCCTCATACAGATGGAGAGTCTGAGGACAGAGGGTGTTGGGCGCCGTGCAGAGTGTATAAATATTATGTGGCTGGATAAATAAAATTAACCTGATGTCTTTAAATGTCTTATTTCGTCTGACCAAAGATCTGAAACAGAAAGATGTTCAGTTACAGTGAAACAAATCCTGCCATGTCAGAAGGTGGGACCTGAGAACGTGGATCATTTTATTTTAACTTCTCTGTCCATCTAATGAAAGTGTAATGTGACCAATGAGATGGGCCCACCTGTGCTCGTCAAGTGTCTGGGTGGGGTGGGGCCTGTGCTGGGGGCGGGGTCCGGCTGGCTGTTAAGCAGCTTGGTTGAGGATCTCTTCATACTGGAAGTCTTGGAGGAGGCCAGTTTACTGGACTGGAGACAGAGAGAGAACAAATGAACAGATGATGTAAATGGCATTTACAGGGTTCCACAGTAACGCTGTGGTTGTGTACCGTCCTCTGCGCAGCTTTAAATCCCCGTTTCAGAATCAGAGTGTTTGACCTGCCCGACGTCGTTGACTTGTTCATTGTTCTTTTTGCGCTTCTGCCCTGGGTCAGCGGGCTGCGACGTTAAATGGTTTTTCTTTTGTCTGTTTTCATTGTTGATATAAAATCAGGAGTCTGCACAGGGTGTTTTATTCTGAAAATTCTTTGTGCAATTTCTGTGTGTGACTTCCTCCCTGGTTCATCTGCTCTGAGCAGTTTGACTCAGCTTCAGACAGACAGACTCACCGCGAAACGGAGAGCTGCTTCTGAAGCGCGCTGCGTCCGGTGGACCCACAAGCCTCGTCTAAGATGGCTGCCATCAGCTCCGCCAGAAATTAGAATCGTAGGCGTCATTTGATATTTTGGATTCTTTACAGCTCCTATAGAGAGCTGCATTATGGGGTGTTTGTAGTTCATCAGCAGTCTGGAGTTAGTCCAGTGTGCCCTGCTGCCAGAGAAATAAACTCCTGCCGAACAGAGTCTGTGAGGAAATATCAGTTTCACACAATATGAAGACGAGGACCCAAACAAGAACTGAAGAAGTTAACAGTCAGAGAGTTTACTGGGAGAAACTCGGTCAGTCAGAAGGTTTGACGATGATCAATTTTACTTAAGTGGAGCGTGTGTGTGTGACTTCTGTGTATTCAATAAACATCCTATCAGAGTGTAACGTCCGCAGTAATGCAATATGTTGTGCAGCATTGGTGCCCGTGTGTACTGATGAGGCCTCATTACAGATCTAACCAGTCAGTCCTGTACTCGGTCTGTGGTACCTTGTGTCTGCTGCTGCTCTGGAAGCGCAGGCAGGTGACGGAGGTTTTATGTGCCACGGTGATCCTGGTGGGGGTGCTGGAGTTCCTCAGGTCGTAGTGGTAGATCTTCCCCTGAGTGGACCCGACTACCAGACCAGTACCGTCCGGAGTGAAGTCTACCGAGGTCAGAGGACTGTCCACCCGGATCGACCTCAGGACACTGGAGACACACAGTATATAGCTGATGATGTACAGAAAACTTCAAAAACACCGACATAAAATTGAACTGACTAATACACTGAGGTGGAATTCAGTCTGTCACTGTCAACATGCTCACTTCTAAAAAGGAAGTAAGTGGGACATGAGCAGCTGTTTTGGATAGACACATCCAACTGAAAGGTAGCGGGACTTCAACACGTGGAAGAAGAAGACAACGAAGCTGAAAGCTCCACCGTCGGGTTTGGAAGCAGGGTGAAGTTTAACAATCATCGGTTCTCCCAGCTCTGTTGGACAGCTGATTCAGGAAGACGTTTTACCAGTTTGGATGAACTCAAAAATCACTAAAGACGACAATGCAGTTTGCAGCGCTAAGAACTAGGGCTGAACGATTAATTGCATTTGCGATATTATCGCGATGTGATATAAGGAGATTTTCTAATCACCAAGGCTGCGATTACGCTCTGGTCACATGACACCCAAGCGGAAAGCAGTCTGCAGACGAAGCATCGTTACGCTGTACCTTGCCTGACAGAAGCTGACACGACAGAAACTTAAGTGGCACACAGGGAATGAAATCGTCGGGCCGTCCGCCGCTTTGACGGACAGGAAAAATGCACAAAAGCGACAGACAGACGCGTGTAGTAAGGTAAGCGTATGGTGGCGATCGGCACTTGCGGCACACACACAGCCACCAGTCAAGCTCAGGAAATAAGTTTCAAACTAAACGCACAGGTCCGAAAGAGGCGCAGTCTGTCCACGAGAGGCGTCACTTAGTTAGAGGTTCAGTTCAGTTCTGCCATCAACTCTATCAAACCCACTAACCTGGTGTTTAAACTGAGTGCTCGGTAATACAGAAAGCAGACGTGGTGGATTTAAATGATTACAGATTAGAGCCGAGACGATTGGTTGATTCATTTAGTCAGTTCCAGATGAATGGGCTACTTATGATCCTACTCTCATAATCATTTTTATATCAGGCATTAGTCAAGCAAACAAGTCAATAAATGTGAGGCTTTGCAGTTTTAACTTTCATATCGGACGTGAAATGAATCTCTTTGTGTTCTGGACTGTTGGCCAGACATTAAATATGTCAAACTGGAGATATTTAATGTCTGTTTGTCAGTATTTTCAGACATTTTTTGGACAAAGAAGAAACTAATTGGTAGATTAATGACAAAATAAATCCTTAGTTGCAGCCGTACTCTGGATTATACAAACATGCAGGGATTCAGTCACCAAGTGAGATTAATCTGCCCTCAGCCATCTTATCCAAAGCTACAGACGTTCACTGTAGAATAAGTACTGTAGTGTTAGTAGGGATGCACCGAATGTTCAGCAACAGAAATTAATATGCTGAAAATAGCAAACAAAGCACTTTCTGTGTTCGGCCTAATGAGTCAAAAGACTGAATAAATTAATAAAACTGTTTTGTTGACACGTCGGCAGCGTGGAAGCATTTTAAAGTGTTGCTGTTCTGCTGAACTGTCTCCCAGCACATCCTTAGAAAAGAACCGCTTTCAGTGTTTCTGTCTCTCGTCTGTGAGAAGATTAAACAAGCCGCACCTAAATGTGGAGTGCACACGTATTCCAGCCTTTACGGTAAGTGAAGCGGCCCAGAGCGAGCTGACAGGCAGGTTAGAGACTTTATCCTGTCAGTTTGTCTCTTTAGTATGAAGAGAGGCTGTGAAGTCTTCATGTTACGCCGGACGAGAACCACATACAACATTATTTATCAAACCGGGTCATTTAGCCTGAGGAGGAAACACATGACGAAATTATATTCAGTTTTGGCTTCGGCCAAGAATGTTCATTTCGGTGCATTCCTAAGTATTAGTACTGCAGTATTAGTACTCACATCTTGCTGGCCGTGTCGAAGCAGATGATCTTCTTGTCCAGACCGACACTGACCACCAGCAGTTCACTGGCGGGGGAGAAGGCCAGGCCGGAGCCCGGGGCTTTGTGGGCGCCGTCGAACACATGGAGCTCCTTCTGGGTGTTGGCGTCCCAGAGGACCACCGTGCCGCTGTCAGAAACACTGCCAAGCAGCGAGCGCTTCAGCGTGGACAGCCTCAGGTCATGGATGGGCTGAAGATAAAACAGTTCTGTCAGTTTTCATGAAAAACCGTGACAGGAAAAATGTTTTAACAACAAACATCAGAAGCAAGAAGGCAAAGAAGTGGAGAGAAAAGTTGATTACTTAGTAGAGTTTTAGGATTTGAACATTTTGAATGTTTGGCTCTGGGAACGTGTCACGGGCGTTTTCTCTTTAGCGCACTGAGGCATGTGAGCTGGAGTGCGTCTTTACCACCACTACATCTACTATAATCCATGTTATCTGGATTAAAGCATTTCTACAGGTGAAATAGTTTCAGTTCTCTCGTTCTCACTGTGGAGGAGGCCGTGTGAAAGACGCAGTTTAAAGCACGCTACATTTACAAAGCAGACAGTCCCACCTGGTCGCTGCCGTGTCCGAAGGCTTTGCCGGACAGGTTGGTGGTCAGACTGTGGAGGACCAGGTCTCCGCTGGTGGAACCGGAGACGACACAGCTGTCATTGGCATTAAAGGACACGCAGGTCACCTCTTCTTTATGGTCCTGCAGAGAGCCAGAGAGACACAGGGAGGCTGTAACATCAAGCGTCACCTCAAACATTTATGAGATCCTCAACAGTCCAGACGAAACCACAACACTAACTTATAATAAAGTTTACACGAGGTTTCGCTACCGTCACGTCCTCTGTGAGGTCTTACCTTGAGGGAGCGGTGAACTCTCTTTGTCTTCAGGTCCCAGATGTGAACACAGTGATCCAGACCTCCACTGACCAGGAACTGAGACGACGAGCTCAGACACGCACGGGTTTGTTTTTTCTGAACAGACAAAGAGCCGAGGTGAGGAGGACTAAACTACTGTTTCTACACGTCCACTGCAGCGATGATGAGAACACAGGAAGAACAAGCCGAGCGCTCACCCCGTCGGCCAGTTCCACCACAGGAACAGGACTGGACTTGAGGCTGGAAACCACCAGCTTGTCTCCGCTGCTGCTGGCGCTGACCAGGTACTGGTCTGAAAGAACTGGTCAAGGCTGCTTCATCTGTCACTGCAGAACGTTCTGGACCAAGATCACACAGGACTGATGCTCGTTTTACATTAAACATTAATTCACAGTTACGTTGGATTCACAGCTGGATTTGCCTGCTTGGCATCTAAACTAGCTCCCGAAACAGAAGGCTGACAGAGTCTTTCTACTGTAGAAATCTAGACGGACGCGCAAACCAAATCAGCGTGTGAGGAAAACAACCAGACAGAAAAACCTTTTCAGCTAAAATACAAATCTGGTTCCAGCTTCTCAGATGTGAGAAAAAAAAATTTTTCTTCGTCTTATCTTATTATAAACTGAAAATCTTTACGTTTTTTTTTTTTTTTAAATGTAAACCTACTGACTGATCTCCAGTTGATACTCTGGTAGCACGTTAGCGTTCCGCCACTAGGTGGCCACCCTGAGCTGATGAACACAGCGGTGTGTTTTGATCGGTCAGGATACTGTTGGAGCTCCAGCAGGCCTGGGCGACAGGGTGGCTGACGCTGTGTGGGTTAAACTGCTCCAGCGGCGCCATGGAAACCGCATCCCAGATCTTCACACAGTCTCCTGTCGAAACCAGACGGGTTAACTCCTCCATGGCGATGCCTGGAGACAAACAAACACGTTGATGTAACTGATCAGTTGGCTCCATCTGCAGAAGTCTGAGTGTCTCTGTTGTTGGGTTTGTGCTGCTGTTTGGACAAAAGAAGTCATTTGAAGTCTTTGTTTCTGTCTGTGCTTACATGTGCTGTTTTTGTAATGTCTTTTAGGTGTCGTGTGGTTGAGACACATGGGAGACATCAGTTCTCCATCAGGGGCCCAACAACCTGCCGGGGACTGCAGATGTGGCTAAATCTGGCACATTTTCCATAATGGACATAAAGTCCTCATGTTGTTGATTAATTTGCACACTCTCTTTTTAAATTAATAAACTACAAAAGAAGCCGGCGACTGTTTTTCTCTCACACATTTCAAAAACTGAAGTTACATTTCACGCAGGGAGAAAAAAGGAAAACAGATAGATGGAAGAGAATCTACTGCCATCTTTTGTAGAAGGTGACTTATTTGTCTGTACCAATCTCCTACTTCCTCATAAAATAAGGCAGCCCTTCCAAAACATTCATTCATATTTCCATGGGATGAATGTAGATTTCTGTATCCTGAATGTCCATCAAAACAATATCATGAAGTGCACTGACACGAACAGACGTGCTGTCAGATCTGGCTGCTACCTTATATATCAAGACAAATAGCTTAGAGGATTGATAAACACAATAGATGAATAGAGGACAAAAATCATAAATCATACAACATATGGCCCAGCAATCGGTCCAAAAGACAACAATTTCATACTTCAATAATACAGATGTAAACTAACAATGAAATTTATAACATTTCTAGAAAAAAAAAGGGGGAAATCATCACCATAATGTTAAAATCTCCACATTATTATATACACAACAGGGTACTTTTAAAACTTTAAATACATTTTCCTGATTAGACTTAAAAACTGACATTTTCAATGCAGTACTTTTACTTGTATATAAGTACTAGCTTTACTTGTACAAACTGTTGGAGTTTAATTTATAACAAAACATCATATTTTATAAAATCTGACTTTGTGAAGTAGCTGAAGCTGTCAGATAAATAAATGTTAGTGAAGTAAAAAGTAAAACATCATCCTCTGAGGTGGAGCAGAAGTGGCGTGAAAATATATTTGAACTTTTACTGAAGTAACAATTTCAATGCCGTACTTTTACTTTTAAAGGATCTGAACACTTCATAAAACATCTGCTTCTCCTCACAGAAGCGTTTTACAGCACAAACATCTTCACCGGTGAATAAACGGGACCGAAGGAAACAGCTGATCGTTTATTATCAGGTTCACTGACGTTCAGCAACAAGTTCTTTTCGATCAGTTACCGGAGACTGTCGACAGCTGCGGCTGGATAAACTTTTAATACAGCAACAACCAGCTCACTTGTCCGTGTTTCACTAAAAAAAAAAGCATTTAGTTAAAGTAGATAAACTGTCAGTTAGCATCAAGCTAAGCTAAAGTTAGCTTCAGCTAACAGAACATTAGCCAGAAGTTAGCGGGTTTTAAAGTTACCGAACTGCATTAAAACCTGACTCAACAACACGGAACCGGCGGTAACTTGATGAAAACATTCACATGTTTAAGGCTTTTCTGTTAAACGTGTCGTACATACCGCGAAAGGTAAATTATTAGCTGATCGATTTTTCGTTGTTTTTGATCCGCCTGCAGTCAATAAACCGCCACTACGGAGACCCGGGAGGGACAAACAGCACACACTTCGCGTTTTAGCTTCGGCAGTGTGTGAGCGCCCCCCACAGGTCACAGGTCAAAGTTCTCACAGACAAACTGCAGAACTGCCTTGGAGATGGATTCATGTTTTTCTCAATTGTTTACACACAAATTCTGGAGCAATGAATGCCAACATTGGAAACAGAGGCAGAGCCAGAGGAGTACGAGGACAGGGACGGGTTAGGGGACGGGGACGAGGACATTGTTTTGAATGTAAAGTTTCATTTTGCAGGAGAATTGAGGGGTTTTGCCGTGTGTGTGTGTGTTTTTTGATTTGTGTGTAGAGTTCTGAGAATATGAGGCATTCTTTCAGAAAATGTGTGTAAACAATCGAGGAAAAACTGTAATGTTTCTCACTGTGTCCAAACCAAACAAAGATGCCGCTTTTTAACTTAAGACAAACAGAACTTTGCTTTTACAAGTAAATAGTATATATTTTATTTAAGGAATATTTTAATAATAAGTAGTTAATAGAAGCAATTTTAACATTTTATAATAAAGCCTTTGCTTTATAATTACATTTCTGTTAATACTGTAAAAATACACTACATATCCACACTGATTTATATTTAATATCTATTTCTTTGTAATATTTTCTACTTACTATTATTATTTCTCTGTCATTTTTTTATAGGGTACCATTTGGCCTTCGTAACTTAGGATAAATAAATAGTTGATTTACCGATATTTTAAAGTTATATTATATAAAGTATATATATAACTTTATGAAAAACATATTGGTCGAGCTCAGGCACCTTTTATTGAATTAATAAGAGATATTTTAACTACATGTTACGCTTGACACGCATAAAATATCCACCCTGTTAAGGACTTAGACATAACAATTTATTTTAAGTATTTTCAGGGTATGATTGCTACTAAAATTACATTTTTATAGAAATCATATGTCCCTCACTCTTATTAGATATTTGGTTTCATAAAATAATTTTTAAAAAGCATAGGCAAGCCTATATTGAGTAAAACAAGCACACATTATGAAAAAGGGATGTATTTTTCCACTTTTTTTCTCAAGAAAAGTGAATTGTGATAAGAATTACTCAGTGTCTCTCGCCTGTGTAGTCAATCCCTTCCATGTCTTTGTGTAAATAAAAATATACACTTAATATTTGGTAATTTCAGGGAACTATGAAGGAAAATTACCAACATAACAGGGTGGACAAATCACCAGTATACACTCTATACATGTCCACCCTGTTAGTGCCTGTGTGAGCTTAATGGCTAACATGACCTTCAATAGTAGATGAGGATGGTACAACAGGGTGGACACGTTACGTACTTAATAAAAATGTCAAAAGCAGATAGTAAGAGGGCGAGAAAATCCATCCATCCATCGTCAACCGCTTGTGTACAGGGTCTGGAGCCAATCCCAGCTGACATCAGGTGAAAGGCGGGGTACACCCTGGACAGGTCGGCAGTCCAACGCAGGGCCACACATAGACAAACAACCAGTCACGCTCACACCTGAGGACAATTCAGGGTCACCAATCAACCTAGTCCGCATGTCTTTGGACAGTGGGAGGAAGCCGAAGCACCCGGAGAGAACCCACGCAGACACAAAGGCAAGGGCTAACCACTGCACCACCGTGCCACCCGGCTAGAAAATCACACAGCTAAATTTCCCTCCACTGTTGGGATGTCATCAGGTCACCTAATGAGAGTGATGTCAGTAAAAGTTTTCCACTTAAAGGGACAGTTAATGCAACTCAACAGGGTGGACAGGAGGCGCTGGGGACAAACATAAAACCCTATTTTTTTTGTACAGAAGTTAATCATTTTGATAAAAACATTTGATTAAATATATTTTGAACAGGAAAATTAGATAATAATGAAATATTTGGAAATACATATGTTTTTATAAGTTTTTTTTAGATCACTGGGGACATAGCAAAATCCCATAGTACCTCTTAAACCAAAGCTTTTAAAATGTAAATAAAACAACTTAGAAGCCAATCCCATTGTAATCATAATTAATAACAATTAACCTTACACAAAAAACCTAATGGAACTAATTTAGATAAAATACAACATGATTTGTATAGGGGACGCAAAGGCACCACATAAAATTTTTTAAAACTTGTATTCCTTTAATGCCTCAATAGATATTTCTAACAAAGAATTTCTCCTTGGGGATCAATAAAGTATTTCTGATTCTCATTTATGTTCATCAAACTAACCAATAGCAGAATCAGTGTCACCTGTATGTGAACTGCTCAATAAGTAAAAACATGCTGCAATATAACTACAATATAAAACCGAAACAATTACAGATCAGAGATTCAGATATACCGGTGAATAATCAAGTCGTGTTGGCTTCATTTCAGAACTTTCTGAAAATCTGGGCATTTGTTTAAAAAAAGCTAAGAAATGATTGGCTGGCAGACATGAGCAGCTTCTCCGATACTGATGTACCTGTCTGCGTCAGCGGTCTGCTGTGAAACCACATTATATTTACTCATTTAGCTGCTGCTTTTATCCAAATCGCCTAACATTGCTACACATGTCAGAGGTCGCACGCCTTCGGAGCAACGAGGGGTTAAGTGTCTTGTTTAGGGACACACTGGTGAATGTTGCTGTTGGAATCAAACCCAGGTCTGCCACACCAAGGGGATGTGTCTTATCCACTGTTCCATCACCACCCTACATGAAGCTCATCTGCAGAGATTCTTTCATTAGGAGACATTTTAATAACAGAAACCAGGGTGCAGCTGTGTAAATGAGCTTTATGAGTGGGAGCAGAGGAACATGTTAGTAAAGGCTTTCTGATTTAAAGGGGAAGTGATCTGTGATCATCATTCAGACTCATGCAGTAATACTGCATCACACGTGTGACCTGGCAGGAGGAGGAAGAAGGCCTTCAGTGTGAAAAAAAGGGGACGTGTAAAGATCACATGGATGAGTCATTAGAGGTGGACGGCTCTTTGTACTTTAAGATATGACAGTAAGCCAACTCACTGTTTTCAAATATGTTTGTTCTTGTTCTCATTATTCTTTCTTCTTCATTTTTGTCCCTGCTGAAACTGTCCATGTAGTAAAAACTCTGCGTTACTTTGAGTTCCTTTCACGGCTTTTTAATGGGCGCATTATTCTTTTTTACATATTTCCCTGTTGCTTTTATGTTTTATGTAAAACACTTTGAATTACCTTGTTGTTAAATTGTGCTATACAAATAATAAACAATTGCCTTGACCTGGGTTCTAGTGATGTGCAGAGTTATATCTGCGGATCGGGTGGGTCTCTGCATAAAAATGAACCTTCTGATTAAAACAATCTCACCCATCGGATTTCAGGAACAGGTAACAACGTTACGTTTTTACCCGTGGATTTGTTTTTCTGCTGCAGAAATGTTTCTGGGTGTAGGTGAATTATTAAAAAAAAAAAAAAAAAAAAACACCACTTCATTTCAGGTTAAAATGCGTTGTAAAGCGCATTACTGCAATTACTGCAATTACTGCTATTACAATATTGAATGTCAGTGTTTCCTCATTGGCCACATGGTGTAGGCAATGAGGAATGACGGGATTTGTGTGTAGAGTTTAGGGAACTGGGTTTGCTTTTTAAAAAATGGAGAGATTGTTTTTTAACCAGGTTCAACCTGGCTCTTAAACTAAAATTTCAAAATTCCAATTTTCAGAAAACACACCCATTTGAGAAAGTTTGAGTTCATTCAGTTTTAGAACAATGGATTTTGAGTGGAAAGCTTCATTTTGATCTGAAAATAGGACGTTTGGGGAGTTGGGTGAGAAGTTGCGGCTTTGTGTTTAGAGTTTGAGGAAAAAGAGGCATAATTTCAAGAAATGTGTTTAAGCAATTGTGAAAAACTGTAAAGTACCAAACAGAGTAACATGAGTACATGTTCTGCAGAGTCAGTCTGGACCTGTGGTGGACTGAAGCAGCCTGTTTTGTTGTTGTGTTCCAGGTTCAGAGAGTCCCCCTGCTGGGATCTCGCTCTGCCAGGTGAAGACAGTCGTGTTCTCTGTCGGTCTGATCATCATGGTGACCGCCATCGTCAGCCTTCACCTCATGGAGAAGCTCAAGAGGAAAAATTCTCCACCAACCGATCTTACACCCTGCATATCCCACGCTATATTTGGCCACAAGCAGCACCATCAGCTGTTTGTATAAGTAAGTGGGATTTTTTGGATTATGCAAGTGCAAGCTCGCAGGGGGGGGGACAACCCTCCCTCCCCCATATAATATTTTGAAAGCCTGTGGTGTATGAAATGTTAGTATGTGCTTTAACAGCTTCCCTTACTTAGCCCATTACTACAGGCACTGCCACGTCATAAAAGGGCTTTAACTGCAGCATGGGCAGGCTGCAACTAACAATTATTTTCATTGTTGACTAATCTGTCGACTATCTTCTTGAATAATCAATTAGTTGTTTGGTCTATAAAATGTCTTAATTATATAAATGTTTCAGTTCATAACCCAAAGATATTCAGTTTACTGTCGCAGAGGAGAAAGGAAACAGGATGTGATAATATTCAGCACATACAGTCCCCTCCAAAAGTGTTGGAACAGTGAGGCCACTTCCTTTGTTTTTGTTGTTCACTGAAGACATTTGGGTTTAAGATCAAAAGATGAGACAAGAGTTCAGAATTTCAGCTCTCATTTCCTGGTTTTCACATCTAGATGTGTTAAACAACTCAGGACAAACCACCGTTTGTTTTAGACCACAGCATTCTTAGGTGAGCAAAAGTAAAGGAACAAATCATCTTAAAGTAAATAACATTTAATATTTGGTGGCAGAACCTTTGCTTGCAGTAACTGCCTCAATCCTGCGACCCATCGACATC